GAATACAGGACTAAAAGTTTGTCTAACTGCAAGCCTAATATTTTAATAGAGACAAAGTAACATGGTTTCTAACACGGTTTGCGCTGTCAGGGTTGTGTTCCAGTTGATTGTGCTATCCAGCATCACCTCTCAGTAAAAATGTTGGATATACCATAGGATCTAAATTTGCAGACATAGACAAAATTGTTTTTAAAGGCTGACCTCGAGGGTATATAACAACTTCCCTGGATGCAGGTGGAGCACCATCATCTCCCACAAACACAATAGCAACCTCCTCATGGGAAGGAAGATTGTATCAACGCCTATCATAACCTTCTTACAACAGAAATTGGTCTACTTTCTAAAGCTGCTCGGTGGATTTCTTTATCCTCTACTTCTGCCATGTTTTTAAATGCAAGAACAAATATGTTTTCTTGATTAATAATTGTTTGCAAAAGTTGCATTAACTCGCGTATACAACCATCATTACCAGGTTTCTCCATTCTGAATGACACTGCTGCATTAGGATCATAGATATATAACTGACAACATTTGGGAAAATTCTGCACGCCTCAAATTTCCAACACGATGCCAAAATTTGCCTACAGACCCTAAAACAGAAAGGGCCATTATTTGAGGGAGGAGCTAATTTGGCAGTGAAGGAAGCAAAAGATAAAGAGGAATTATAACTCCTTATGTGTTAAAAAAAATTTTGATTTACAGCATGATCAACATGGTTTCCTGTCATTAATTTTATCTCAGCTCGCCTAGCCTGCCTTCTTTCATTTTGACGAAGTCTAATAATTTCATTTCTTAAATTATCAGACATAATCATGCATCAAAGGTGTGTAAAAATGATGCTTAATATAATAAAAAATTGAGTTTTCTTTTTTAAACTAATCTAAAATAAAGTGTAAGCAAATAATATAGAGCATAATATAATAATCTTTTCTATTCTACCATATATAACAATGTGTTAAGATAACATACTTTTATTAAAAGGTTAAACTAAAGTTATAAATAAATTGATATAATCTTTTAAACTGAGTATTGTTACATATTTTAGTTAGTTGTTATTAATTATTGACAAAATATTATTAGTATTTAATCAAAAAAACAAAAGTAAAGTAATTTAAAAAACAATTTTATTATATTTAAGAACTCATAAATAAAGCAAATTAAAAATAATAAGGCCTGTCTGCTCAGCAAGTACTATAAGGATAAAATGTAATCTATAAGTAATAAAACTATAAGGATAAAATGTAATCATTTATCATAAAAACCCTTTCATTACTTTGAAACGCATTTAAAGCAAGCTTTGCAATAAATAAATACAAAACTAATAAAATAAAATCTCTATAAACAAACATATATTTGCTTTAAGTGAAGAAACTTGGAAATATTGAAACTTGTTTAACTATTTTAATTTTTTTTAGACATCTAATATTCTAAAGAAAAAAAGTCAATAATATATATAATATATATATACACTTTAATTTTATATATTTTATTGTATATATATATATATATATATATATATATATATATATATATATATATATATATATATATATATATATATATATATATATATATATATATATATATATATATATATATATATATATATGAGACATATATATATATCTTTTAAACAAATTTACTCAAAAAGTAACAGTAGAAAAATTATTTAATGAAGTATAATATCTGTTCAATAAAAGTTACTTAAAATTATAAATAATAAGAAAATTATTATAGATATTAAAAAACTATATATCTTTCAATATTTCTTATAAACACATTCTTTCAAAAAAAAATTTAACACTTTTTATGACTACACTAACTACAAACAGATTTAATTTATGTATTTCATCATAACAGTACTGTTACTGTTTGGCGTGTAACAGTAGTATTACATGCCAGTTAAGTGGTGTGCTGCAGTACACCACTTAACTAGCGTGGACAACAATCTTGCTCCCAACAAAGCCAAGTCACATTATAGCAAAGTACACCACTTGGCTAGCAAAATCAGCACTCTTGCTGTAAACTAAGCCAAGTCACAACAATTTGAAAAGATATTTACAAACACATAAATGGTATTTACACACTTACAAAATATAAACCCATATAACCTAAACACATAAACATAAATAATGCATAAATATAAATTAATCTATATAAAAATATATAAATCAAAAAATATATATAATTTAGAAACTTTACAAATACAACCTTATTTTTGTTTAATGACTTACCTCGTATAATAAATGTTTAACAACTTGGAAAAACAAACGATCTGGTTTTTTATATAAAAGCAAACAGATTTTATTTTAACTTCTTTAAAGGTAAGGTATTTAATGCTGTTCTTTCTTGTTCTTTCTAACATGTAAATGTGTGAGATGCAAGATTGAAAAGAGCATTGTCTTTTAGAGTCACCATCGTCTTTTAATTAAAAAATTAAAATTATTACTTATTACTTATTAAGTTGATGAAGCAAAGTTTTTGATCTTATTACTGATTAAACAGATATTAACAGATTCAAGAGTACCTCATCGCGTGGTCAAAAAGAGAAATACCTAAAAGGCAAAGCATGCTCATAAAACTCTGTGTAAAAACGCGCACAAATGGTGAGCATTCATCGAAAGCGTTAAGTTATTAATATTTTTAGATTATTATTATTTTTTCATTAATTTTTTGGCATCACTTTTTAGTATTTTGTTATACATAATTATACATAGTACAATATACATAAATCATAAACAGAAATATTAAAGTGTCAAGCAACTTTCCTCTATTTTCCAAGCTGGTTCTGAGTTTTTCTAGGTTGTATAATTAAAAAAAATTTATTACTATTTAAAAAATAATGTTATTACCAGTCATGGACAGGAAAGACATGTGATCATACTTCAATTGTGACCATGCAAGTAATTGTTTTTTTTTGAAAGTTTGACCACGGCTTTATAGATAGTTAAAAACGCTCTGAGAAAAATAGACAGGAAAAAAGTTATAAACAGGCTAAACTATATAAAAAAGTATAAAAGTTGTCCTGGTGAACTTTCATTCAGATAAAACTCAATTTTTTTCAGCCAATCGTTATTGCAATAATTTAGACCTTTTTATATTTATGAACGGTAATGTACTCGATGAGTTTCCTACCCTTCATCTTCTAGGATTGACTCTTACTTCTGATCTTTCTAGGAAACTTTATATCAAATCCGTTGCAAAATTAGCATCTGCTAAAGTTGCTTCTCTTTATCGAGCTTGACACTTTCTTACTCTGGATTCTATTCTCTGTCTCTATAAATCTCAAATCCGGCCTTGTATGGAATACTGTTGCCATATCTGGGGCGGATCTTCTAATGATGCCCTTTCTCTTTTAGACATGGTGCAAAAACGCATTGTAAACATAGTTGGACCTGCTCTTGCAGCCAACCTTCAACCTCTGTCACATCGTCGTAATGTTGCTTCTCTTTCTCTTTTCTACAAATACTATAATGGGCACTGCTCTAAAGAGCAAGCGTCTCTTGTGCCATTTACTAAGATTCAATTGTTCCAAAGTGCTCCAAAAACTCTTACTCTTCTAGTTTTTTTCCTCGAACATCAGTTCTTTGGAATTCGCTTCCTTCATCTTGCTTTCCTGATTCATATAATTTGCAATCTTTTAAGTTGTCTGTCAATCGTTATCTTGCTCTACAATCTTCATCTTTTCTCTTCCAGTAACTTCCAACACTAGTTAATGGTTGCTTGCAGCCTTGTTGGAAGCGAAGATGTTTAAAAAAATAATAATAAATCTTAACGAAAGAGAAATTTAAAAAAAATTAAAACCTATAGTTCTAAAAAAAATTAACTAATATAAATCTGAAAAACTAAAACAATAAATAGAAAATTATTTTTAATTATATTTTGCAATTATTTTAAAGTTGAATAACTCATCTTGCTTGACGAGTTTCTGATTTTTCTTATATTAGGAGAATAGCAATTAAATCTTTTTTTCTTTTCTTTTTTTTTGTCTAAATAAAAATATTTATATGATTATTTTTAATCATGATTATTTATTCATGTATTTTTATATATCAATCAAAAAAAAATTCATAAATTAATAAAAAAATAATAATATAAATATTTTTAATTAAACATTAAAAAAAATTGAAAGATTTTTTTTTTTAATTCTCCTAATACAAAAAATTTCAGTTAATAACCTTTTCAAACCAATGCTATGATCTACAAAAATTCGCTTTTAATGTTTTTATAATATTAGGCAAACTCTTTTAAATAAAAAAAACTTACATCTAATTATTGTTTAATAAAAAAACTTAATTTAAATTATCAAAAAGAATTTTAAAAAAAAAGTTTATTGAAACACATTTTTTGTTGTCGTTGTTTATAAAATTAATAATACAAATTGTTTTAAAAAAAAAAATTCATCATTAAAAAAAAAAACTTTTGAAATAAACAAAAGTTTTATTTAATATTTCATGATTTCAACTATTAAATTTATGGATTCATCAAAAAGTTTATTAAAAAAATCATTTTCGTTGTTGTTTATAAAATTAATTGTTCAAATTGTTTTAAAAACATTTATACTCGCAAAAAATATACTTTTTAACACTATAATATCTATAATAATTTAAATAAATGTCTTTCATAGCTTTCATAATCTTTGAAAGCAATTTCTCGCCTTATTACTTTATTTAGTGCATTTTTTAAATGTTTTCAAAAATTCAAAAAGCCATAGTTAAGTTGTCACAAAAAAATAATAAATACGTGGTCAAGAATAGAGTACGATTGCAAGCCTTTCCTATCCTCAACTCGCTATTACTATTGGTTAAACAAATATAAAAATTATAAATAAATGAATAGTAACATTTAACAACTTAAATATAAATATAAAATAAAATCAAAAAAAGATATTATAAAAAGCTTTGTACTATGTACAAACTTTTTAAACTAAGCTTTAAGTTTGTAGCATGTACAAATTAAAAAATAATTTTAATTTAGTTTTGTTTTAAATTTTGTTATAGCTGGCAAGAAACCTTCAGGTGATGAAGCTGCTGTGTGGGTACCTGATCAAATTGCTCCATTCTGCATGCTTTGCAAGAAAACAAAGTTTTCTGCTATTATTCGAAAGGTTTTTTTTGTTGATTTTAGTTAAATTTATAGTATGCTGAAAAGAAAACTTGAAGAGGGTGCCTTACATGTTTTATGAATAAGCTTTAGTTAAGGAAAGAAAATGCTCTAGATTGTTTATTTTAGAGAAACAGTTTAGATAAGGAAGGCTAAAGCCTGATAATGATGACGATGATCATGATGATAATTGTGATCATGATGATGGCAATAATGATTATGATGATAATGTTGATCATAATGATGTTTATATGTGCATATACAGCTATGCATAAGTTTAATTGAGTTTTTTCTAACATTAAAGTTTAGCGGATATAGATTTAAATTTTTTTTTTTGTGGTTTGCTATTTATGTTTGTATTGATGAAATAGACGAAAAAAATATTAACACGTACTACACTACTTCTGTAAAACTATTTAAACATTATACAATGTATTTTAATGATCACATAATACTTTAATCGAGTTAATTAATATATAATTATAATTTTTCACACTCGATAGCTAATTATTATACATAATTACCGCTATAAATTATAAATATAAAGGGTACTCAAGATTCTTAAATAAAAAAATAATTGCAAAAAATTATCTGAAGAATAACTGCAATATTTTAAATTTCAATTCACTTGCAAATGGATAGAAAAGTGTCAGAGAGCATTAAATTGCAAATTATTAGAATGGTCAAATCAAAGAATCATAACAACATTGAAATTAGTAAATTTATGTATGTTTCTGAACTTTGTGTGCGAAAAACAGTGAAAACCTGGGAGCTAACAGGTAACGTTGTTGACAAGCCTCATTCTGAAAGACCACTGAAGCTTAGTGATCGTGATAAAAAATAGCATACTCAGAACCAGTAGAAAAAATCCTAGGCTCAGCAACAAAAAACTAGCTCAAGTATTTAACCAATTCTTTTCTAATTGAAATGTAAGCAAAGAACTTGTTAGAAAAACATTAGCAAAAAAAGGTATAGGATCTTACATTCTAATAAAAAAGCCTATTCTGTCAATCATGGACCAACACAAAAGACAAAAATGGTGCATTTGCATTGGGCAAAAGTGATTAGGAGCGATAAGTCAAATTTTCAGGTTGTGAATTGCAAAGGAAGAATATTAGTTAAAAGATTTGCAACTGAGAAATATTACAAGCGCTAATTACAAGCAAGATAACAAGGTGGTGGAGGTTCAGTAGGCATATTGGGATGTTTTTCCTACAAAGGCCTTGTTTTTTGTGAGCTGTATAATGGCTGTATCAACCAATATACCTACAAAAACACACTTGAAACATGTTTATTCCATTGACAAGACAATTGGACAGCAGAAGCAAGCAATACATCTTCCAGCAACACAGGGCTCCAGCACACACAGCATATAGTATAACAAATTGGTTTACCACAAAAAAGATAAATTTGTTGTCTTGGTGCCCTAGATCACCAGATATCAACCCAATAGAAAATATTTGGTTATGGATCAACACTCAGTTGGAAAACTATAAAATTTAATCAACTGAGCATTTAAAGCAATTTCTAAACGAGTTCTGGTTAAAAGTGCCACATGAGATGTGCATGAAATTGGTTGAATCAATACAGTGAAGAGTTCTTCTTTGGTATCAAGCCAAAAGAGGACATTTTAAATATTAAATTTGTATTTTTTTAAAATTTTTGTGTTCTAAACCTTAACTCAATTAAACTTTTATTCAACTCATTTTATGATTATATAATTATTTAATTTTTTTGAATTATTTTATTAATCTTATTTTATTAATGTTAATTTTATAGCTAATAGATTGTTTGTTTTAGAAATTAAAAAAAAATTAATTAAATTGATTTTCCTAATTTTTTTAGTTGACCCTGAAAAGTTTGATTAAAATTACCATCTAGATTAAACTTTTGTGCATAGCTGTATATACAAGATATAACATGAACTTTGAATTGAAAAAATATACTTTAGGATGTTTAAATATTTATGCAGCCCCAGTCACAAACCCGGCACTGACCTCAGCCCCAGCTATATTTTATCAAATCCAGCTCTGGTCAAATTTCAACCCTGGTCGATTCCTAATCTTGTTTTAGTATCCAGAATAGGTCTAAGCTCTTTTGCTTAATCTACTTTTAGGTTTTCTACTTGACTTGACTATTTTACGAACCTTTAACATAAGAATACTATTGTCCTCATTAAAATGATTTACTCATCAACAAGATGGATTTTCTCATCAAAGCTGATACTTTCTTTAATTTAGCATTGAATATCCAATCCAGATCCAGCATTGAATATCTAATTCAATTAAGATGAATAAATAAAAGCATTGTTTTCAAATTCATATTTTTCTGTATCATAAATTACAGCATTTTAAGTTTTTTTAGCTTGTGGTTAGGACAACATACCAGTTATAGTCTTGCAGAAGTGTTCTCTGGAGCTATAGTTTATAATTTCAAAACTATTTATCAAGTGCTTATCAGAGTCTTGTTTTCCAGCCTGCCGGAAAGCAGCATCTGTTATTCCTATTTTCAAGAATTCTGGAGAGCCTTTCGCCCATCTAACTAATGTCCCATTAGACTCCTTACTATCATAAGCAAGGCTTTTGAGTCTTTAACAAACACTTAATGTCTCATCTAGAACCTAATAATTTACTTCCTGATTATCAATATGGATTTCGATCTTCTTGTTCTATGGCTGATTTGTTAAAGGTAATAACCAATAGGCTTTGTAGTGCATTAGATAGATATGAAGAGATAGGGTTATCGCTTTTGACATTCCTAAAACCTTGATATAGTTTGGCATGCCGGTCTTTTCAATAATGGATAGCAATGGACAGCACTCTTCTTCATTTCCTGTAACTTTAGGGGTTCCTCAAGGTTCTATCCCTGGTCCTATACTTTTTTTAATATACTCCTGGAAATTTTTGCATCATGGCATTGTTTGCTGATGATACTATAATTAATTTTTGCCTTAATTAGAAACCAACAATCTCTGATTGCTTGAAGGGGGCATTTGAGCTTGAAAAGGATCTCACTTCTACTACAGCATGGGACTCTCAGTGGCTGGTGAACTATAACTCAGATAAAAATTCAATTTTTTTTCAAATAATAATTAGCGCAATAATTTAGATCTTCAAATATTTATAAACGGTAATGTACTTGATGAGTCATCATTTGTCTTTAAGGACTAACTCTTATTTCTGATTTTTTTTTGGAAACCATAGTAACCATACATCAAATCTATTGCAAAATTAGCATTTGCTAATGTTGCATCTTGTGCTCGCCACTGGAATTCTATTCTTTATCTCTATAAATCTCTAATCCAAACATCTGTTCTTTAGAATTCACTCCTTTTATCTTGTTTTCCTAATTTATATAATTTGCAATCTTTTAAGTTGTCTGTTAATCGTTATCTTGCATTATAAACTTCATCTTTTCTCTTCCAGCAATTTCTACTCTAATAATGGTTGCTTGTAGCCTTGTTGGATGTGAAGATTTTTAAAAAAATATATATATATTTTTAAAAATATATATATATATTTTCAACTTTGAAATAAATTTCTTTTTTTAACTTTTTTATTTTTGGTTGATTTATTAATAATTATTTAGGCTAAACAAATTATATATATTTTTTAGCATCACTGCCGTCGATGTGGTTTGGTAGTATGTAATAGTTGCTCATCTAAAAAATTTTTAATTCCCCACATTTCAGCAAAACCTGTTCGCGTATGCGATCAATGCTTTACAAAAATGTCTAGTGGACAGGTAAAACCAGATGACCCTGTTGTAAATGATGCAAATAATATGACTCATAAAGTGGAAACTGGTATGATGTGTTATGATTAACAATATTACGATTATTATGACTTTGTGTACAAATATGTATATATATATATATATATATATATATATATATATATATATATATATTTAAACAATTTAAAATGTATTCTACAAAAAGAGTGCTCAATGTTCTTAAAAGAACAGAGCAATTACAAATTAGTAGAAAATCACTTAGCAAAATTTTTTCTCATTTCATTTTCAAATGAGAAAAAATTTTGCTAAGTGATTTTCTACTAATTTATATATATATATATATATATATATATATATATATATATATATATATATATATATATATATATATATATATATATATATATATATATATATATATATATATATATATATATATATATATGTATATATATATATAATAGGGTAAATTGGGGTATTATGAGTAAAAACAAAGATTTTAAAAAAGTAGTAATAGTGCTCATATTATTTATTACTTGATAGTATGATAATATGAGCTCATATTATTGGTTACTTGGTAATATGAGCACTTTGAACTAGCTTAGAAAAATACATTATTCAAGTAAGAAAGTACCAACCTACAATTAGAACTAATTTGTGGAATATAATGATTCGTTATTAACAAAACTTATTAAAAAATTGGGCACCCAAAATTTTTTCTTAAAAACAAAGATTTTAAAAAAGTAGTAATAGTGCTCATATTATTTATTACTTGATAGTATGATAATATGAGCTCATATTATTGGTTACTTGGTAATATGAGCACTTTGAACTAGCTTAGAAAAATACATTATTCAAGTAAGAAAGTACCAACCTACAATTAGAACTAATTTGTGGAATATAATGATTCGTTATTAACAAAACTTATTAAAAAATTGAATTTTTAGCCACTTTTTATTAAAACAATACTACTTTGTTTTACGCAAATGTTAAGCAAAAAACAGTTCATTTTTTTTTCAATTTTATTAACTCGAACCTTTAAACAATAAAATTACAAATTTTTTGTATTGAAGTTACAGAAAAATATTTAGTATTGTTAAAATATTAAATATTTTTACTATGTTTTGTTTTTATTCAAAAAGCAATTAAAACCACTGCAATTTTAGGACTTTAAACTAGGTAATTTCAATGAAAAACACTGCGTAATTTGAGCATGCTTATATTACACAAAAATGGTATATTTAAATAAAGTCAAAACTAAATGTTTCTATGCATTATTTTTCAAACAAAAATGAAACGGATTTCTAGCTAGCATATTTTTCTTTATGAATAATTAAATTTCATTATTTTGGCATCGAAATTTTGAACTCATGCCCTTTTTTTATCTAATGGACTGGCGTTGATGTAAACCTGTGCTGCATTGTTTAATGCTTAGGACTCTATTCATGAGTTTTTGCCTGTGTCTGATTGTTATTAAGGAACTTTGTGTAACTTAAAACTTTGAGGAATCTGGAACTAGCTCTAAGAGAGGCTAATTTAATTAACAGCTGTATATATTAGAGTATTAATAGTGCCATGTTGCACATGGAAAGTCTTCTTAATATATCTTGCAAGACTTATCATTCAATCTTGCAAGACTTCTCATTTAGCAAAATTGCATCCCTTCACGCTAACTTTCTTTTTTACTCAAAAAACTTTAATTTATCTTTTTTTTTCTTTGCACATTTCTTTTGCACTTTTTTGGAAATTTCTCTCTTTTTGACTTGCAGCTTTTTTCTTACAGTTTTTAAGTTTGTAAGTTGTTTACATGCACTCTCTTCTAGTTCCCAACTCCCAACTTGTATCCTTTGTAGAAGTGAGTTTTTCAATAACAACAAAAGTTTTGCAATGTTTACATGGTAATTATAGACAGGTGGTCTGTAAGGTTGCATCATCTTACAAACTAAGCAACGAAAACATTATTTTGGCATACAGAACATTCTTATCTAAATCACTCCGGCCACTTTTTTGTTAATGTAGTTTTATTAACACGAGTTTCTGATCAAGTCAGGGTTATTATTATTATATGATATTAGATGTTGTTATTTTTTATTGAGCAATATTTGAAATATATTTCAAATATGTTTAGTTCAAAAATTTCTGCATTAGTTAAATAATAATTGGACAATTTTGATTTCAATCCATTTGAACATGCATGAACAGGTTTCCAGATAGAGTTTTTTACTTGTAGTTACTGTAGCATCTTTAAGTTAATAAGTTTCTGTCTCGTTAAAATTTGAAGCTTAATTTTGTAGGCTCATTTAATTCAATCACTCGAAAAGAAAGCGAGAAGTTAGCAGAAAGTGGTTCTTCTGCTGATGAATCTGAAGAAGATGATACTAAACGATATGATGATAATAGTAAAAAAATTGAAGATGATATTAAAAGTGAAGAAATACAGGTAATGATTGAGATTTTTTTTTTTGGTTTTACTATTTTTTTTCCTATGTTTGGTGTTTATTTCTTGCAAATCTGTTTTATGTGAAATAAACACTAAATATAAAAACAAATCAAACAATATTATTGATTTTGGTGACTTATTTTTTGGGGAAAGTTAGAGTCTTTAGCAACTGACTCCATCACTTCAGAAGTGTTTCTGATTTTAAAAGATTGTTTGCTTATGAAAAGAGAATGAAAAGCAGAAAATCTTTGCAGGTGCACTCTTCATTAACTATTCTTGGTAACACCTCCCATTTACAAAGTTTTAGTAAATTGTTGATCGAAGCACTAAAATGTCTGTTGTCAACTTTTGAAACATAAAATTGTTGATTTTTTTGTTTTCATGGTAAAGTTGCAAAAATTAAAAATTGTTGCTTAAAGAGCAGACAAAGATATTTTAACTAAAAAACATTTTCTTTGTTATTTTGTTAGTTGCTGATCCAACAACATCTCAAGCTTACCAAATCATTGCATTGTTTGTTGTTGACCCAACATACCTCTTAAGCTCACCAATCATTGCATTGTTTGTTGTTGACCCAAAATACCTCTTAAGCTCACCAATCATTTCATTGTTTGTTGTTGACTCAATATACCTCTTAAGCTTACCATTCTTTGTATTGTTTGTTGTTGATCCAACATACCTCCTAAGCTTACCAAATCATTGTATTTATAGTTGTTGATCCAACAAACCTCCCAAGCTTACTAAATCATTGCATTGTTTGTAAAAGACAATACAATTTAAACATCTTGGTTTGGCAGGCTTGACTTTTAAAAATTAAAAGAACTTTTTTATATACCAAAGGTGTATAGAGTGTAATTTTTTTTAATCTTTTTTTTTTTTTTAATAAACTCCATACAACTTTGGTATTAAAGAAAAGTGCTTAAAATTTTTAAAAGCCAAACCTGCTAAAACAAGATGTTCAAATAGTAAGTATTGTGTACGTAAACCCCCTGTCTTTTACAAACGTAAGTATCGTGTAAGTAAACCCCCTGTCTTTCACAAACGTAAATAATTAAATAGTAAGTATTGTCTTTTATAAGCTTGGGGGTATGTTGGATCAACAACTAACAATGCAATGATTTGGTAAGCTTAGGAGGTATGTTGGGGCAAATATAAACAATACAATGATTTGATTTAACAAATGAACTTATTTTAGTTTTCTAAAAAACACAAGAACCATGAAAATAGTAAAAATTAAATATTTTATCATTTAATTTCAATTATTAAATGAATAATATTTTGATGGCCCTGACATTGTATTAGGGATAAAACCAGTCAGTATACATCTTTTTTGCAACAGCCTTGGTTTTTATATCAGCAAAACACAATGTGTTGTAAAAGGCAAGCTAACAATACTCAATCAAAAATAAAAAATTTTTTTGCTCCATTACATCTTTTGATTGTTATTATGCCATTAGTAAAAATCAAATGAATAAGAAATTCAAATATTTTTTCATCGTCTAAAATTTAAGAATAAAGATATGTTATCTTTTCATCATCTAAAATTTGTTAAAAATAAAAGATATGTTATCTTTGAGATACAGACTTAATCTCAAAGATAGTCTTTATTCTTTATTTTTCTCTTTATTCTAATAGTATTATGTGTTTAAATGGAAAAAACTTAAAATATAACTTTTTGTGTATAGGTATATTATTTATTCTAAAATCTTTTAGTTATGTCCTGATTTTTCTATTATGGTGTCATCAGTGTTCTGACCTATTTCGATTGTCATTACATTTCTTTCCATGCCATTACAGTTCGTTGTCCTGAGATAATTACAGTTCGTTGTCCTGAGATAATTATCCTGAAACAAGCGTGATTTAAATCATTTAAAATCATATAAAAATTAATATTTATGCAGCTCTGGTCACAAACCCTACCCCAACTATCTTTTGTCAGGCCCAGCCCGGTCAGATATCAACCCCATTCGTCAATTACTAGCCATGTTTTTTTCTTTAGATTTTTATCAGTGAAGACAAGATCAACAAGTTTACTTACAAAAAGATGTTGTTAAAGTGTTCATGGTATAATAATTAAAAATAATTTTCTTGGTTGATTTCATATCTAACAAGCATGACATAATGATATTTTTGTAATATTACATCTGCAAGAGGTTTGCTATCAGATCGGTATTTTCTGAATTCATCTGCTAGTGATACAAAAATGATTGTTGTCCTACGTTAAAAAAGTAATTATAAAGATCTAATTTCCTGAAGGAGCACACTTATTTTACTAGCACAGATAAGTTAATAGATAGGTACAATTAACAGGTACAGATAGAGACGATATCTTTTTCAAAAAAGGTTTTTACCTATCGTAAAACTATACCAATAATGCGACCTGTTCCTAACATCAACATATGTGTTATCCTATATTTCAGATATTCTTTCAAAATATTTTCTTTCCTCTTTCATTATTCCTAACTCTGCACAATCTGGAAAGTTATGATTTATCTTTTAGTTGATATCAACTAAAAGATAAATCATAACTTTCATAACATAATTATCAAGATGTTTTCACTTATTTGCTTTTTTAGGTGATTAGTCACTTTAATGTGAAGAGCTTTTTTTCCTGTTGCAAGTTTTATATTTGCACAGTCACCAACTAAATATATTTATTTTAGCCTTTTAAAAACAACTCTTTCAGCAAGATTCGGACTTAGTGTGACTAATTTGTCTAAATTTTGACGCATTTGTATCATTATTTTGCAACTAGTCTCTAAAAAAGAAAAAACTTTGATTTGAGGCACATAAAATTTGAGAGCTGGATCAAAAATTAAAAGAAAACGCCCGTTATGGGAAATTAATTTTTAAAAACGCCTTACCTTGAATAAAATTGAAATTTATAATTAGTTTCGAAGTATTATCAAAATATAACGTGACGCTTAAAAGATACCGCCATATAAACAAAGTTTAAAATTTTTTCATTTAGTTTTACAGTTAACGTTTTACAGTTAAAAAAGTCAAAAAATAAATTAAGATGCAGTTTGTAATTTGTTTTTGACGGTTTCAATTCCATGCTAATTTCTACTGAAAGGAGTAGTTGAAAAAACCTGAAGTAAACAGGAAACTTCAACTTGAAACTTTTTAAAAAGAATCAGTGTAATACCCTACATTTGTTCTTTATCAAAATACTGTTAGTTGCGTAAGTTTTTTAATTTTATCTTAATACAATTTCCATTTTTATTTTTAGCCGACTTTTTATAAAATAAATAACGAGGTCGTTGAAACCGGAAATCGTCCTTTGTCTGTTAATGGTTTGACGAAAGATTCGTTGCAATCAAATCCATTAACTATTATCTAAATAAATAGAATCTATGTTGCAATACGTTTAGCTGATGTTGCAATACGTTTAGCTGATTTTTCGAGCATTATAGTATTTTTTATTATCACACATAAATTTAAAAAAAGAATTACATTTGTAATAAAAATTTGTTTTGTTACTGTTTCTTTTATAGCATTACAGAATATAACCATGTATTTCGATAATTCTATATATTTTTTTACGTATATTTTTTTAATAAGTTTTTCTATCGTTATTTATTAAATGTTAATATAATCTTCGTACAAATGCTGTAATAACATTTTCGTACATTTTTAAGCAATGCATGTATCTTTCGAATATTACGATAGATTAATATTTTTAATTGTTTCTATTCTTTCCGGTTGTTTATAGCGTGTTTTTTTTTTTAAATCTGGTTATCATTTTTAATATTAAGGTTGCTAAGGTGTTTTATACTTAATTCGATTACGGAATCGAATACAGAGCAAAACTATATTTCTGCCAAAAAGAATGCAGGTCTCCCAAGACTCTCAAAAGGAACCTATAAAAAATGTTTCTCATGAAATTCTTTTTTTCTTTTAAGTTTCATAATCTAGAGCAGGGGTTGGCAACCTATTTTAAGTAAAGAACGATTTTTTCTAAATTATTTTTAAAAAACTTACCGAGAGCCGCAAAGATACGAGTGTAAAAAACTAAAAATTGTTATCAACACTTATTATTTTAAGATATTTAATCATATTTAAATGTCTTATATACTTACTTTTACAAATTGTAAATAAACAAAGCCAAAAAGATTATTAAATATGAACTAAAAGACAAGTGACATTTTTTTGAGTGAATTGATTCACAGATTTGTTTTAGATCAGTTCTTAAATAGAGGTTAATAGTTTTAAATAATTTTTTTGAATAGCGGGTTTCAAAACGGAGGTCTTTACTTTTAAATAACTTTTAAATTTAAAAGTATTTTAATAACTTCAAAAATTTGCAAATATGTTTTTTTTTTCTTTATATGACTATTTTTACTACGTAAGTCATTTACGTTGACCTTGAAATGAAATGTTTGGCAAAAGTACAGAGTAGTTTAAAAAGTTAGCCACGACAGGGTTCAACGTAGTTAAGTTCATTTTCACTTCTGATCCCCACTGATGGTATGTTACGTTTAAGCAATTCATTAAAAACTTTAGTTTTGAAATACAATGTTGAAATTTTTGCATGCAAATTTTATTCACGCACTTATGCGGAACTAAGACTGTGTTTGAGCATGTAAAAATAAAAAAAATTTTGGGCGCGTAAAAATTTTGAACAATAAATAATTACGTACTTTACGAAAAATCCTATACCACCTTATCATAATTCTATTTTACTTCAAAAATGATTTGGCAAAAAAAATTTATTAAAGTAAATTAATCTTTTTGATGGTTTCAAAAAAATTAAATTATACATAAATCAAACGTAATGAAGAAATGGTTGTGTAGCACCTGAATAAAGGACCTGCGGGTTGCAAAGCTTGATCAAGAGCAAGTATTTTTTTCCTGCTGTTTTTATAACTTTTAAAGTTATACATTATTTTTATTATACATATATATATATATATATATATATATATATATATATATATATATATATATATATATATATATATATATATAATATATATATATATAATTATAATATCTATATATTAAAATAGTATACAAAAATGAATTTAAAAAACCATTAAAATTTAATAAATTTCCACTAAAGCAATAATAAAAGCAAATAATATAAAGAAAAAGATTAATGAGGATATAGACCATCAGTGGTCACTCTAACATGATTAACTTGTTTGTTGTTTGGCTTTAGTCACTCTATCTACAAACTTAACTTAATTTAAGTTTCTTTTTATTAACAGCTTTATCTGGAATTGAAAAGTATTCATTAATAAATTTAGAAAAGCATGTTTCATCAGAATGAAGGTATTTAAATATATGTGAGTTTTTATCTTTCCTATAGTGTTCAAATATTCAAGTTTTAAAATGACAAGATATTTCGCCAATGTAACAGGAGTTAGATCATGCACAAACAAAATTTGTGAACTGCAAAAAATTCGAGTTCAATAGGAAGGGGATATTTATTAAAAAAAAAACTAAGATGCTTTAAGTGATATAAAAACGAGTTTTACAGAAACAGGTTGACAGTATCATTTAATAATGGAGTTTAATTTTTGTTTATTAATATCTGAAATTTTGCGTAAGGAAGTTTAAAATAAAAAATGGTTTCTATTTGTCAAATAGGTGATATTTTAGAAGAAGATTTAATCAAATAAGATGCGTTAGTTTTATCATGAAGCCGAATCGGGTACATGTTTTGTTTTAATATTTTAAAAGGTTTTGTTTTAATATTTTAAAAGGTCAGAACAAATACCAGATTTTGTGTTGTTAACTTTGAAAGCCCTATCAATTAAACATTTAATGAGACCTACTTTATGTGAAAAAGAATTAAAACTATAAAGCTTAGTGTTAAGTTTATAATATTGTAATATAGAATCCTAAATTATATTTTATTTTAAACTTGTTAAAACCGTGTGGGCTTTAATGTTATTGTTAAAAGAGCTCTATGAAAAGGTTGTGTTGACACCAGTCATCCCTATCTTCTTTGAGCCCTGTCCGTTTTTATATACTCTCTTTACGTGATGTTGTAAAGTAAGCGTTTCCTTGTAATTTATTTTATTTTTTACTATATGAACAACAAAATAAATAAATAAATAAAAAAACGAATAAGACGTCTGCAAATATTGCTTTGCAATGGTTGTTGGAACGTCGTGCAACAGTTGCACAACAGCCTACGTTGTAAAACATTAGTTTCAAAATAAAAGTATATTAATTTCTAAAACAATAGTTGTATTGCACTTCCATTGTTCAAAATTTCTATAACCATTGAAAAATGTCTTTTTTATCAAAATGAAGCGCGCGTTACACATTAACTTCGTTTTGTAATAAAGCCCGTTTTATGAAACCTTGACTGACTCGACATCATTTTCCAATTTTTATTATGATTTATTTGGTTCAGAAATTTACTTTTACTAATAAGTTAGAGAGGTTTGTGAAATGTATTTAGTATAGTAGTTGAGTGAAAGGTTGTATACAAAACTGAAATATCATTTAACTTGATATAAGAGAGTAGAATCGTTGCCTCCTTAGTTGTGATTTTTTTTTATTAAAAATTTGTTCACCTTAGTGATAAGTACCAACGTAATTCAAAGTTACAAAAAACAAAGCAGGGTAACATATTTTTCACTCCAAAATGTTTTGTTAATTTATTTTTAATGAAAGGCTTTTTTTATATAAATTTTAAAACTTCTTTACTTTCCCTTATAGTGAACCTAAAGAACAACATTTTTGAGTCTTTAGATCAATTTTTGCTCAACAACGTTAATTTAATTTTAGTTAAAATCTTTTGAAAAAGTGCGTTGACCCACTATAGATCCTAGTTAAAATCTGTTCTGATGCATTTTAATTAAATATAGTAGTCAAAAAATAAAATTTCTTTCAACTTTCACAAAAAAACTCATAAATTCCGACTAAAAAAGTTCTTAGCAATTTAATTTCATTATAAGTTCTTATAATAAAATTAAACTGCTAATAAACAATCATAACAGATCATATTATTAAACTATGAAGTTGATTTCACCTAAACAACGTATTTATTTAAAATCGTATTCAAATTCTGAAAAGCAATTGTGATTTATCGGGGATTTAAAAAAAAAAATTTTTTGTCTGGGTTTTTTCGCTACAAACATTTTTATTTTGTTACGGCAAAATTTAAAAATTTCTATCATTTTAGTTTTGTCCGCTATTTCATAATTCACAGTCATGATCATTTAGCGGAAATAAAAGTCAGCAAAACATCATACAGTTAATATCGTAATTTTTTAAGTTCCCCTCAAATAAAAGGGGACATATAAAAGACATCATACAGTTAATATCGTAATTTTTTAAGTTCCCCTCAAATAAAAGGGGGACATAAAAGACATCATACAGTTAATATCGTAATTTTTTAAGTTCCCCTCAAATAAAAGGAAGACATATATGGCCCCCTTCATTGGGGCCATATAAAAGTCTACTCACCGAGTAGACTTTTATATGGCCCTAATGAAGGGGGTGGGGTTATACTCTGTATAGTGTTTTTTCTTATTTTAATTATGCTGATAAATGTTGTAACTATTTTAGTTGTACCACGATATATATGGCATATTGCGAGGTTAGAATTATTTTGTTTTATCTTCATGTTTTTCCGAACCGAGAAAATCAAGTTCAAAGTTTTAAATGGACCTGCATACCAAATAACATAAAAAACGCAAACAAAACCGATTTGTATTAATTTCCTATACTGGTTACCACAGTTTTAAAGAAATTGTAATTAACTATCCTGATCGTTTTACACATACAAAACCTATTTTTATTGAAATGAGATTAAATTTTTTTGAACTCTGTTTTTTCTTATTTTAATTATGCTGATCTTGCAACTATTTTTCGTGTTACAACGTGTTTTTTTTTTTTAGTTGTAACACGATATATATGGCATATATAATTGTACTGTGACATTTTAATGTAAGCAATTAGTTGATGTAATTTAATGTAAGCAAAAAACAAAACAAAAAAACGATGACTTGTCATCAAACTTGTTTCCTGCAGAGAAATTATTTGAAGTTCTCGTTACAAGTTTTTTATTTCCAGATCCCACTTGAAATTTTTTTATCGATAAAATAATAGCTCGAAAAGTTACAACTATCATGTAAAAATAAACAAAAATCAGATAAAATAGCAGAAATATGTGGATTAAATCAGCACATATTTGGAATTTCATTTGTTAATATCATAATTACAACAAAGTATGCCAGAAAAATAGTAGAAAATCCTGTAAAAATCTCAGTTGTTATATAAAATTTAATTTAAAGAGCAATGCCATCATTCTTGTTTACTTGATTCAAGTTTTTTGATAAAATAACGTATTTTTTAAAGTTATTCACCTCCCCAAAGCTGAGAAAGCCACTGCAATTGAGGTCATTTTTTTTGTGGTTATAATCTTCTCTTAACTCTTTTAACTCCAAAATACCAACCTTGACGAATAAGGCCACTGCACGGAGAAACAAGTTGAGCACGGTACAACCAGATACGACCGCAAGTATCACCAAGTTTTCTGTTACCGATGGAACTAATCGTAACTAATAAACTAATATTTACTACAATTATGCGTGATATTTTGCAGGCTTTAGTTTTAATGTCTGAACGCAATTCCCATTTTTGTCCATAAAACTTATTTTTTTGAAGTTTATTGTTGTCAATCATTTTCGGATGGTACTGCAAACCGACCGATTACTGCAAACAGACCGATTAAGCAGTACATGCCAAAACAAAACTATTTACCGGTACAATGGAGAAAAATCTAATTACGTGCACTTCTCTTTGCGAGTATTTGAAAGCTAACTAGTACTAACTTAAAACAAATTTTAAGCCTATATAAAAACAGTCTTATTAATCAAAGGCATACTACCAATTGCAAACTGAATTGTTTCAAAATAGGGGTGAAGAGAAGGGCAGCGGAGTTATTTGTCATTTTATTAAATAACTTTATGCCCAATCTATACCCTCTTATCTTCTATACTTAAAATTTTTCTCAAAATGACTTTCTGATTCAATTTTGAATCATTTATTAAAATAAAATTGATGGACATATAAAACATTGGCTCGCCATTTTTGAATATAAAAACATGTATGACATAATCTATTTACATCTTAAAATTTTTAACAGAAGCTGATAAAAATAGATTTTTTTAAAAAACAAATAAATATTGCATGAAATATCAAGGAGAGAACTGTATGATTAACAACACAAAGCAAATAATTCTCGCCTTTATTCCTACCTGTTTCATAAAAGCATGATTTAAAAAAAAATAAACACAATCAACCTTTGGGAAATAAAATTGAGCATACAAAAAGATAAGCCTCACAACTATTAATAATATATACACAGGTTATCGACTTGGGAATCGAGCTGACAAATGTCGAATATCAGATCTATGCAGGTGAGAAAATGCAGAATTTGTTTCAATAGGTAACGTTCTTGGTAAAAATAAAGGTGAAGATAAATGCATCGGGCTACGCGGATCTTGAAGCAGCAAATTATGATGCAAAAACGACCGTTCTTTATCGTAAAACCGATCTTTTTCAAAGTTAAAACGCTCCTTTTCAAACATATAACGATCTTTCCCGCGCGAAAGATCAAATGAATGCTTATCGTAAGACCGTTCGATTATTCGCTCGTCTAAAGAGCGCTTTAGTCCGTTATGAATACCACCAGGAATATGCATTCGATCTGTTGGTCCAATTAAACGATCAGATGGATTAGATACACATTCACGGTCAGTATGAGTTCGATCCAACCGATTGTCTAGCTGTCTGTCAGACGGATGTTGTTGAATGTTTTCATGTAAACGTTCAGAATTATGAATCTCTTTAATACGTTCATGACCGTTTCTAGATTTAAATATTGAAGTCCCATCCTTTTCTGACAAACCGGTTAAACTTTCAACGGAAAATGATGTAGGGGTCTTTTTTTCTATTCTGTTTGATGATAAGGGCATTGGTAATGAGGATGGTCTTTCACTAGAATGTTGATGACGACTACTATTAAACGATGCGGCTAGATAATTGTACTTTTCGCTCAACGAAACATCACGGTCGTAACCGTTAGGTGTATCCTGTGTTTTTATATGATTAAGCGTGTGATGCATCTTTGGAGAACTACGCGCCATTTGAGTATGGTCGAACGCATTGCGCGAATGTAACGTTACAGACGGAGCGATAGAAACTGGAGGTAAATGCATCGAGATAGGCGGAGAAAACCGTCCATGAATAGGCATTTTATGAGAGTAATTAAACATTACCGGTTGAGGATGCATTGATTGACGTGACATAAACGCTGAATGATTAACATCTCTCGGTAATATGGGAACAGATGATTTTAACATCGACACTCCTCTGGACTCTTTTAAAGCTTTTTCAGCAACATCTAAAGTACTCCGTATAATTGGTTGATCAACATGTCTCGGTTCAACGGGAGTATTTATTAATGAGGAATTTTCAGGTATAAGTCCGTTTTCATACGCCTTAACGTCTTTACGATTATTAGACATATTTAAGACACTTGGTCTATTTCCGTTTTCTGACCTAACTGAATGAACAGAACTATACATCGTATTCTGGCAAACATCATGAGGCTGAAAAAAGCCTTTAGGAGGTTGATAACAAACCTGACTTGTTACATCAGCAGGGTATGAATTAGACTTTACATTTGTATAGTTTTGCAAAGGACCTAATATTGATTGGTGACAATTAGAAACTTCTAATTTTCTATTACAATCTTGTTTAGGTTTTACTTCAGTAAACGCTGAAACAGGTAAGTTGCTTTCATTACTTTTTTCGTCCTCTGTCTTAACATTTAACACATTTTGTAAGTCAGGTGTGTCATTTTCAGTATTATTTTTTAAAGTTTTGCTTTGAGAGCTTGTTGAAACAAGACTTGGATAGAACGATTCGCTCACACTAACAGATGTGTGATTGGCAAGACAACTCATCTGTTTGGCAGCTTCCATATCTTGTTCCCTTTGCCATATTTCTATGCTATTACGACGCTCTCTTAAAACTTCTGATTCTCTAATAGAAGTGTTATTATCATCAACTCTATGCAGTGGTGATGAATTACCCAAATCGACATTTAATTCTTTATCTTTTTCCTCATCTTCAAGATTAGGAATAAATGGTCTACAATGAGTTTCTGCATTTAAGTATGGTGTGTCCCATTTTTGAGCAGCATGATAATCACCAATAGTTGAATACAGTCCTTTTTCAACAGCGTGACCTGCTCGGTTTGCCATTCCTGTTGAAAAAACATAACACCGATAGGTTTGTTGAATATCAGAGGATGCTGGGGAACTAACATCTTCATTTGAAGCATCTGTATTTTTCTTTACACGCTTTTTAGTACGGCTCTTCGTTTTGCGAGCTAAAACAACAATGTAATTCTAAAATAACAATGCTAAAACATAACAACAATGCTAAAATAACAATGTTAAAACAACAGTGCTAAAACATAATAACAATGCTAAAATAACAATGATAAACAACAATGCAAATATTACTTATAATTTATGATGATAAACTTAATGGGATAGCGGATCTAGGTTTCTGAGTGTACACAACAAACAAATTTAGAAGAATCCTTTAATTTTAACTGATCTGAAATAATGATATAAAAAAACGCAGTTTGGTCAAAGTCTGAGATTAAATGCACTTTTTAAACGTCCTCCTTAAAGAAAAATCAGCAACTAGATTCAAAAATTTTTATAAAAAATTTCAGATAGTTTCATAAAAAAATAATCGGACTTTTAAAAGGTATAGATAGTGTAAAATTGAACACCACCCTCCCCCTACCCCCGTCCTCAATTTTATTTTTCTTCCCTCAAATTTTGCACGGCCTTTTGAATGCTGCACAATTTGCTGATAAAGTTTAAAATATGTCTTAGTAGCTGAATCATTAAAAAGTACTTTGATGATTCGAATTAGAAAAAAAACTTAAAGACCAAAGTTATTATATAAAAAAACAAAAACCTTTTGGAGCACGATCTTCTCCTTCTGAATCTATTTTTTGAATTAACTGACAATCATCGGCATCATCAGCACTCCACCATTCTTCCTCTTTTCCTCTTTTACCTTCGTTTTGGATTACACATTTGCGCTTGCCGCGTGGCTGAAATATACTTAGATCAAGTCCGGGAGAATCAGGTCGACATTTCTGTGTCTCACCATGTTTTGCATCTGGCGAGTCTTTTTTTCCATTTTCCTACACACAAAATTTCGTTTAACATTATCACTTTTTAAAATCTTTAATCTCTTTAATCTTAATAGCCGATCTCATATTTAAAACTTTCTAAATTTATTCAAAAACTAAAATAATAATTGAATTAATAATACAAATTAACTTAAAACCAGCGGTAATTCATCATAACCACATAAAACAAATTGACTTTAAACCTGCGGTAACTCATCATAATAATACAAACGGTGAGTGATTTATATATGTATATGTATATGTATATGTATATGTATATGTATATGTATATGTATATGTATATGTATATGTATATGTATATGTATATGTATATGTATATATATATATATATATATATATATATATATATATATATATATATATATATATATATATATATATATATATATAGTGTGTTTATATTTATATATATATTAGAAATTATTATTACAACGACGCAATAAAAATGTATTAGTGGAGACTTCGAACAACGCTTAACTATCAAAGAGATTAATAAGTTTCCCCGATTTTTTCTTACTAAATTAAGTTTAATTCACGCTGAGAAAAAAAAAGTATTCTTACTCAAATACATAAATGTTACAATAGCACAACAAAAATAGTAAATGAAAACGATGAATTAGCATTAAAAAATAATCAGAGCGAGGCACGCATATATGTAAAGATAAAAACTTTTTACATCGGTTGTTGTTGAAACGCTAGTTCAAAATAGTAAGAAAAAAAAATATCAGAAAAATTCAAACGAAAAACGTATGGGATAGAGTAAACAAACCTTGACTCTGGCGTTCTGCTCCTCTATTTGATTACTTTGTAAATGTTTTTTTTTAAGCTAGAAAAATACACACACTAATATCGAACAAATTACTATTTTGTAAAACTATACTACTAAAGATTTGCGTAAAGATAGTGAAAAATGTTATAAAAATATTATATATGTATTACAAAAACTAAAATTACTTGACGCTTGCTATGATCGTTGATTTCTCTGAGAAGAACATTATCCAAACCTTTTTCGCATCCTGATAAAACCTGATATTTTAATAAAGATAAAAATGTTAAGATTATTACGTGTTTGTTATGATTATCACGAATGCTTTAAACAAAACAACAAGTTCAAACTTTATTAATTTAAAAATTTAGGATTATTTTTAAACGTGATAGTAAAAGTGGACAACGTATACCTGCTGTTTTCCTTTCTTAACAAACTTCATTGTGTTAATAAACTCTAGTTCATTCCTAGACGCATCTAAGTCCCAATATCCAATAAATAGAGATTTCTTTATATTTATAAGTTTACTATGTATATACAATATATAAAAACCTGTGGAAAAACAAAACATTCATGTAAACTTAACACAATTTTTTCTCTTTATTTAAACACTTAACAATCATTACAACACAACAGAAAACAAAATTTTTCCAATAACTAAAAGTAAAAAAAAAAAAAAATGAAAACAACAGAAACTTTTGTAAGTGAGCTTTTTTTTTCTCATGCAAACAAAACATTATTGTTGCAATCCTTTTTTTTTAATAATCTACACAAATAATCTACAAAAAGAAATTCATTTTTAATGAACGTAAAAAAGAAATACCTTTTAGTTTTAGTAAAATAACAATCTAAAAACTCATTTGACAAATCTTATATAAAAACACAATAAAATAAAATAAAAATTTTCACCATCATCAAAATAATGAAGAAAACTTTAGAATTAGTTTTAATGTCAACAAAATTAAAGGGAAATCACGAGATTTTTCTTAATAACTACGTCTCTATTGTAAGCGATAAGATTTTAAAATAAGATAAATTTTAACAAAAAATTAATTTGCATTGGATAAAAAACTGAACTACGAAGACTAACTCGTGTTTGCTTGTTTTTAATATATACATATATCAACAAAATATGCGGAAATGGTTGTCAACGAGAATAAATGTTAAAAAACCTGTTCATAAAAAAAAAAACAATCCGCAAAACCATAAGTATTTTTATATTAAAAACGTCTATTAGAAATAAGTTGAAAGCATAACCTATCCACTTAAGACCAATTGTCAAAACAATAACATAATTGTAAAAGAATTTAGATGTTAATCACTTGTGAATACTTGACTACTAAAATCTTTATGACATGCAAAGCCTTGAGAAAGGTCGTGTATTCGATTTTCTAGTTTGTCAATTTAATAGATTTAATTTTATAGAATAATATTCTTTGCAGCTCAAAAATAAAACAAAACAAAACATTTAGCAAAAAAATTTTTTGTCATACTTTAAAACTCAGTTCAAAATAAATACGGAACGTAGAAAACAAACAAATAAAACAGTGTTTTATTTGACTAATTTAAAAAAAGATTTTCAATCAACATTTATGAATCCTAATCACCTAATTTTTAAAAAACTAATTCTATACAGACAGCAGGCTGATTACTTGTGTAATTTAATAAACCATCAGTCTGTTTCAAGCAATAAGACAGTTGGTACTGATAAAAAAAAAAAAAAAGAATTTTACTACTGTACATTGTTGTTTACATTAGAAATTATATAACAAGTCCTCCGCAATCAATTTGCGAATTTTGATTCAATGTTAAAAGATAAGCGGCAGACAAAGAAAATATCAAATGTTACACAAAAATATTTTAAAAATAACTTTCTTTATAAAAATTCCTTTATCAGTCTTACACATTCAAAATTAGATGACATATGTAATACATTAAATAAAAACGAAGTACTTAAATGCCATCCTACAATTTATTTTTTTCATTAATTTCAAAAAATTATTTCTTAAATGAAAGTCGGAAAAAAAATAATAAAAATAAACACCAAATCAACATATAAAATATACGCAGAATTAGTCCATAATACATAATATTTAATTTGAAGATCTCATAAGTTAAGAATTGTTTCAAACATGGAGAAAAAATAAAATATAAACTGTTATTACTAACGTTAGTATTATTATTTATAATTATAATAGTTATAATTTATTATGCACGAAAATAGCATAAAATAATAACAGTAATAAAATTTACAAAAATAATTATACTCTTGTATTATTATTTTATAGTCTAGTACTACTATGGTAATATTCCGTAATTAAACATGATTTAGTTATTTCCTATTACACAAAACTGAGTAATATCAATAAGCCACTATCTGAGATATAAATATTTGAGCTATCAATCTTAAAAATGTTTTATTTTTAATGAAAAAAATCCGTTTCTTCATCGAAAAATAACATATTGTATCTTATAAAAATACCAATAAAATAAAAAGCTTAATATTTTTGGCGATTTAAATTAATTAGAGGCTTTGTATTTCAATGCTATGTCCGATATAGCTAATTCAAGAAAATATAATTTTAAAAAGAAAATTAATCATTAAGAAACGAGTTTTTTTTTAAATTTATAAAAGGGATCATGAGATGTTGGCTAATTAATTTATATTTATAATGTTGAAGGTTTTTCGTTTACAAATTCACCGCGTTAGTACGCCCAGCTTCAAGAAAAATGTAAACACAGTCACCAAACGCATTCTAACAGACATCGTTCAAAGGTCAACAATGTTTTTGAAGGATTTTGCTTTTTTTTTTAATGCCGAAAGCCAAAGCTATTTAACTAAAAAAACTTTTTTTCAAAAACAATGCTACAAATTTAAACCTTCGGCAACAAATATTTAACAACTTTGGTTTATTTTTTTTTACCAAAAAGCCGATCATTGTTGTTTTTCACACTTCATTAAATGAAGCAAACGACTTGTTCATTTTATCTTTATTTATAATAACTCTTTATAATAGAAAAACAACTTGTACGTTAATCTAAGAGAATACAAAAAATATTCATATATAAAAAAAATTCCACATAAAAAAAAAAAATTTGTCTTAGAAAACATACAGAATCTAGCCAACAAATGAACTCTTAGTCTAACTAAAATAAGAAACCTTAGTTTTAATAAATTTACTCTAACCCACTCAAATATGTTATTCTAATTTAAAATAAAATATAAAACTTATATTGATGATGTGTGCATGTGAACTTATATATTTTTTAGAGAAATGATTCTGGCAGTAAAATTCTTATACTGCCAGTTTCATATGTTTAAAACTCATCAAGTAAAAAAAAGGTTTAGTGTTTTTAATTAATTTATTACTGTTCTGCTCTATAAGAATATTGAGCATGTTTGTGAACATAAACATAAATAGAAGTGAATGAAATTTATTCATATACATACATATATATATATATATATATATATATATATATATATATATATATATATATATATATATATATATATATATATATATATATATATGCGTGTGTGCGAATGTTTATTTATTTATATATGTATATATATACATATATATATATATATATATATATATATATATATATATATATATATATATATATATATATATATATATATATATATATATATATATATGTATGTATGTATATATGTATGTATGTATATGCATAAAATATTTGTTTATATTCACATAAATTTATGTTTGTGTGTGTGTGTGTATTATACTACATAATACACACACCAACGCTCATGTAATATAATAATACACACACTTTGTTTATTACTCCCTGTAACAATCCAAAATTAATGACTGAAAAATATTAACCACTAATCTCAAGGCTTTTTAAATTTGAAGAGTCACAAAAAATAACTTACTTTCTCCCTTTATTTCTTATAAATATAAACTTGTCATTAGAGTTAATGTCAATGCTTGGTTCTTCAGTACAAACTAAGGTAATTATAACTACAAAAATAAAGACTCCTTCATTCTTTCATTCTTAACTTCATTTTAAAGTAATTTAAAACTGTATTTCGATTTTAGCTTTATTCTAATATTTTAAAAAACAGTGTTTGAACTCAAGCATAACACGTTTTTACGACAACTCCAATACCAAATATTAACAAGAATATATGCTTACATAAAAAAATAAGATAAAAAACACTGTTGAAAATTTCCATATGAAAATCAGTATATAAATAAAATTCCACAACAAAAACTACTGCTGCTTTCTTTACAAGCACAATGAAAATAATTTTAAATTCAACTTTAGCTTTTCAAACGATTTTAAGATATTAAAATGCAAATTACTTATTACAATTTGGTTTGCGCTAACTCTGTAACTTCAAGCTAAATAAGTTTTTTATTCATAAAGACATTTTTAAGTATTCATTTGAAGAGCGGTTTTACCAATTTTACCGTTTCTTTTCTGAAGGTGCGTAAAATGTTAGAATTCCCGCTTGAATTCACCTTTCTTTTTTTGTGCGAGTACAACACCTGTTCCTCGAGATTATGAAGAAAAAAAATTTAAAAGAAATCTATATTTATTTTTATTTTATATAGTTTAGTGGTAAAAAAAACCTTTAGTCGTTTTTTGTTGTTGTTGCGAACTTTCAAGTTAAACTGTTAAAAAATAATTTTTTCATATTTAAATTCCTTATAATTTTATTTGGTAAAAATTCGTTTAATTTTTTTTATTCAAATAGAAACAGAAAAAGATTAGTTTCCATTATATTTAACATATATATGATAAAACTGCCCTTTTTTCAGCAAAAAAGCAATATGATGTTTTTTAATTGTTATTTTTTCGAATTTATTAATTGTTGTTATAAATTGCTCATCGAGAAGGGCGTCTATTAACAACTGGTTATTAATTATAATTATTGTTATTCATTTTAAAAATTCAAAAACGCACAATCAACAACAAAAAAAAACTTAAGCAATAAAAATCAACAAACCAACAAAAGATTCATTTCAAATAAACAAGGCTAAACATAAAACGCTAAATAATAAAATATAAATACAAAATTTATATAAAAAAATTAGAAATAAAATAATGGATTGAAAATATCAAAGTAATATTTCTGTTTTTATAATAAAATTTATTTCAAAAACAAAAAGGCATTCATAAAATACAAATAGAAAAACATTTAATGTTCTGTTTATCTTTGTACTTATTATTTGCAAACATAAATAAACGAGAGTTCAAGAAATTACAAAGAAGAGCATTTACAACAGATGCAACTGAAATTTTTCATTTCAAATAAGCAATCGATTAATAAGCAACTAATTATGTGAAAGACATTTTCTATAACTATGTAATTATTTTCGAAATGTTTACATTTTAAAAGATATATTGATGACCAATTTCGTACTCCGTATTTAACGATAATGAGGTAACTATAAACGTAAAAATTTTCATCAAAAGCTAACTACATATGAAAAAGTATTTTTTTTCTTTGGAAAACTTATTAACTGTAATAGTCCACAGCTGCCCAGCGGACATTTGTTTTTAAAAGTTATGTTCTAAATGTATTTTAAATGTCTTTTAAACGTCTTACGTAAAGAATGTTTAAGAGACTAAACATTCTTACGTAAAGAATGTTTAAGAGACGTTTAAAAAACGTTTAAAAGACATTTAGAACGTAACTTTTAAAAACAAATGCCCGTAGGGTGAAGTGGTTGAGTGGAAGACTTAATAGGCCTCCCACTACTCAAAAGTAGGTCTTAGTCAGAACCAGGGGCGGACTGGCCAAATTATTATGATGTGGAAAAATATTTTTAACGGCCCTGTAGGCCAACGAAAAATGAGGAAAAGCAGCAAAGGTAACAGACGTAAATTACAAAGTTATGCTTAATTTATAACCGTTATTTATAACCGTTAGTAATAAGTGAAAAAAAAATTATTTTTTTATATATTTTATTGAATTTTACATTTTTATGAGATTATGAAAACGGCCCATGTGGAATAGTCCACATCTTCCACATGGCCAGTCCGCCCCTGGTCAGAACTACCCATTCCTGCTTAATGTCAAAATTTTGGTTTAAAAATTAAAACTTTGGCGGATTGGTGAGTTAAACGTAAAGTAAAAATACAATAAAAAATTATCTTAGTACTGTCATTAGTATTAAAGTGAGTTACAACGTTTTAGACGATGTAATTATGATATTTCCCTATACAAAACGTAAAAGTGTTAAATTTTGTTGACAATATTACGCACACGAAAAGACAACAACAATATTACACAAAATAGAATGGTTCTTTGGCTTTATAATAATAATATTAACGAAATTTAAAACTCAATAATACTTTACAGGCAGGTATAAACTTTAAAAAACATTTCTAAAATATGAAATATTATAGATTTAAATTATAAATTTTACTGCAGGGCCGACGACGCCGGAGGCAAGTGCACCCCCTACCCACCCACCCACCTTTTCAGAGAAAATTCTAGATATAGAGGCCTTTTTTTTAGAAATAAACGATTATGCCCCTCCACTTCGAAACCCGTGTTGTCGGCCATGTGCTCACATTTATATAGAATTTCAACGTTCAGTGTATCATTAAATGAGAACATTTAGTATTTGTTAATTAAATGTATATTGAGAGTATGGGCGCTATGTGGGAAAAACAGACTTCTTTTATATTATAAAATCTGATGAGAAAAAGTATTTTAACTATTATAATTGGATAAATTTTAATAATAAAGAAATTTTATACTAAAAATTAATGAACACAACCATTGGTTTTAAATAAATTAGATAAAATCTAGTTATTTATTAAATAATAAATTCGATTCAGTGATTTAAAACTTGTGTTATTTATTGGATTTTTTTTTTTTTTTTTTTTTGATGCTTTGCTAATATCAAATTACACTATTCAACAAAAACAAAATATTTGTTGTTCAAGTTATCAGATTTGATATCGTATAATTTTGATGTGCTGAATTCAAAATTGACATTATATTTTACTTATCCTGACAGGATAAATAAATATAATATCAATTTTGAATTCAGCAATAACTGCTGCAAGAAAACTGGACAGGCTGTCCAGTTTTCTTGCTGCAGTTATCCTACCTAGGTACCGATGTTCTGAACAACAAAACGAAGAAAACAACAACAGCAAAATATAACAAGCACAGCTTTAATTAAATTGTGATTATCATTTAATAATATTGTTGTAACAACATATTGACTACAAAGTTCAAATTGTTAGAAACAAATAATAATTTAATAAATATTTAAGGTTTTTGGTTTTTTATTTTTTCTGTGATTTCGATAAGTATCAACGTCTTCTCGTATTCTTTCAGAAATTCGATTTGACACGCTATAAAAAAATTTTTTATGTTAAAAATGCTACAAAACTTACGTTTTGTAGCATTTTTAACATAAAAAAAAAAAAAAAAAAAAAAAAAAAAAAAAAATTTATCAACTTGTTGTCCTCACGTTTGAGACAAGAGGTATAAATTTAGGGCTTTTGTTTTCTGTTTCAAATCGAAACAAAAACATTTATTATTTGAACAGCCCTTTCTTGTCATAACTTACTCATTACTTATCATAAAGCACGCCAAAAAGTATTTAACAAGAAAGTTTGATCTGTCTTCCTTACTGTCGCAAATATGGTCGCAAATATTTTATATAATCTGTCTTCCTTACTGTCGCAAATATGGTCCGTACAGGCATCAAACCTACCTTCTTTGGTTGCTTGTTTTTTTTTTGTTTTTTTTTTTTGTTCTTTAGATTATGAGATAAAAATATATTTTTAGATATACTTTTAAAATATTTTTAAACATATGTAAATGTACAAATATTAAATGTTCAAATATTAACATTTAAACATTTAATTAAACATTTTAACATTTAAACATTTACATGACTGTTTTGAAGAAATGCTTTGACCCTTTAGATAATTTCATGCTTATTGAAGCAAATTGCCACACGTGTTTCCAAATTTTGATTTAAAAAAATGATCGAAATATTTGATAAAGAAATTTAATAAAAATTAAAGAAACTAATAATCAAACGGTGGTATATAAACTAAAATTTTACTTTTCTTGATAAATATTTATTGTTCATTCATTTTTAGATGTGTCATCAAATGCAACTAAAAAAAAAAAAAACATTTAAAGCTGCATCACTGTTTAAAGTATTTAAAGAAAGTCACGTTCATATAAAAAAAAAAAAAAACTTTTTAAAGGAACGCAGCAAGTAGTGTTTTTTAAACGGATGCAATATTTACAAGATAAGATTTGTCTTATGCCTTGTTTATGATTTTAGTTGTTTAAGATTTTAGATTTTATTTATGAAACTTATTTTTCCATTCTAAAGTTGAGCATTTTAAAGTTTTTAAAAATGATTTTGTTTTTTCGAAAAGACCTTGTATGATCTGTGGTGAAACTGTTTTTAAAAAGCTGCTTTAAAAACGTATTTAGGGTTGGGGATGCTTCGTTCAGCTGTACATCTCTAGATTCCCAGTCTAAAAGTCTTTAAATTGTGAAGAAAAAGTTGTTGATGATAGAGCAAATAATGAATCAGCTCAAATTAAATATTTCAATAAACACTATAACTGTAATTTGCAGTATGAACGATGAAATAAAAAGTCAGAAAAGTGTAAGTAAAGTAGAATCTTTTAATACAGCTGTCTATATAAAATTATAGATATACAAGAGTTGTGGAATGTTTTTAAAGTACTTACTTTTTTATCTACTTTGATAAAAAATCTCTCTTGATGTCGGACAATTTAAAAGAGCGATTTGAACTTGCCTTTTTAGTTTCAAATCTTAATGAGTGTGCTCATTGCGAAACACTGTCATTGTTGATGTTGATGTTTCACGAGATGGTGTATCGAAACGAACATGTTACTATATCTATCAATAGTGGAAGTAGAGTTTGTAAAGATCAACTTATAGGATCATTGTTTTAATGCTACCAAAAAAGAAATGTGACCCGTTATTTCTTGCTGGCGAAGAACTGTACAAAGTGTAATTAAATAGAACCACATTGTATTTTGATTACAATATCATGTTGTATTTTGATTACAATGGGTCGCATTGCGATGAACGATAACATTATTTATCACTAATTTAATTAACTTAACCTAGATTAACGGAATGCATAAATTAATTAGTTAACCAAAACTTAACCTTATATTTAGCAAGTTTCAAAATACAAGAAAATAACTGTCAAAAAAAAAGTATTTCCCGACGTTTTGACAATGTCATGTCTATCTGTTATTTAATCATTCATTTCTAAATTCCAATAATTATGCAGCAAGAGCACTGATTAGAAAAACCTAAATAGTGATTAAAATGGCGTGACAAAACATTTCCAATAATGGTTTTAAAAGGTTTAACTCTGGGTAGTTTACTATATGCAAATGGTCCGCAAGCAATTGTGAAATTCGAAAATTGTTATTTAGTTTAAGTAAAGCATTAAGTTGAGTTTTCACAACACATTTTTACGTTTTGTTTTTACAACACGTTTTCATATTGTGTTTTCACGGTGTATTTTTCACGGCACGTTTTCACGTTGTGTTTTTATGGCCTTAGCTCACGACATTTGAAAATTATGAAATACCAATATCATTTAATTTATTTTATTCTAAAATTTTAGGTTATCTAGTAACAAAAATTTGAAAAGTAAACATGTTTTATAAATTATCATAGACAAACGACATCCTTCAAGAACATATTAGAGAGGATTTTAATAAGAATTTTTAGCTTATTCTTAACTCAAAGACGCGCTAGATTCCTTGTAAACAATGTTACTAAGCTTTTCTAAAACAAAATTGCATACAAATGAATCTAATTTTTGTTAACTCTAGTATACACTTTTACACCATACACTTTTCTGAAAATGATATCCTGTTGTCAAATATAATACTGAGTGTTGTAATATAGCTTATTAAAGTAACTTTTTGTTACATTAATACAAATCTTTATAATGCAGATTTGACGTTAGATGTTAAATGAACAACAAAATACAATTTTAAGTTACAAGTTAAAAGCTCTCGCATTCGGAATAAATCAATGAAAAACTATTTAGAGTATCTACCATCCTAAAAGATACCATCCTAAAACCATGCCTAAAATGATACAGAGTTTAAATCTACATCCCATTAACACCTAAAAATTTTCTTGTTAAAAAAAAGGAAATGTTCTTGTGTGCAAATGTGAGTAATGAAAAGCTTGTTTTTTGAAAAGCTACATCAATTGTTTTGTTCGCACCAATCATTTAAAGTCAAATCGATCAAACGGCATCAATATAATTCTGCCTAAAGAAAGATTAAATTATGCTCAAAACGGTTTCTACTATACTGGAGATTTCTTACAAATTACGAATGAATACGAATGTAATAGACAAATATAAATAGTTGTTAATAATTGTCATTTATTATGCTATTTTATTTATTACTTTTATTATATTTTATAGATTACAAAATTATCTGTTGTCTATACAATTATTATTATTTGTATCTACAAATAATTATACATATGTAAATACAAATAATAACTTTATAATCTATAAATAAAAAAGTTCACTAGTTTAATAAATATCAATTATTAATTATTTATAATATTTGTCAATTATTTTAAACTCATTGTCAAAAAAAAAATTTACGCCTGAGATATGAATTTATGTCTGAGATATGAATTTATGTTTTGAGTATGAATGTTCAAAGCTGAGGTGCAGTGCCGGATCAAGAAGGGCTAGGGGGGACTTTTATGGCAAATTTAGGGACCCCCAAAAATTTCAGAGGACCTTTTTTTTTTTTAAGTCGTTTTTAGCTCTAGCCCATAAAAAGGCCTCCAAAAACAAAAATAGCCCTAGGCCCCAAGAAGTCTTAATCCGCCACTGCTGAGGTGACCGAACATAGAGGGTATATATCAATGGTACATATAAAACTTACACACTCAAAGCAAAAATTGAATGATATATATGAATATTTGATTCATATACGGCTTTACTATTGTGCTGTTTATGTGCGCTATTATCTATCGAATTTTGCTTCTATTTTTTTTTGTCAAAATATACCCAAATATGTTGCTTATTTATATTGCAAAATTTTGATAACAAAAAAATAAAAATCAGCATTAGATATTTTATTCAAAATAAGAACATATCGTTTGACCGAACTTTCAATACCATTACTTCAGTCACCTTATAAATATATTAATTGTTTAAAAAAAAACTAATATATATATATATATATATATATATATATATATATATATATATATATATATATATATATATATATATATATATATCTTCATAGCATTTTATTATTAAAAACATTATAAAATAAAATATCAGTCATTAATGAAGATTTTTTGAAACAAATATATTAATGAAAAGCAACACTTCTTATTGTTGTTCACTTAGTATTTTTTCCTGCTAATTGTTACTTTCGTCATTTTGTAATAATGTCTATAGGAATTGCACTTAATCCTTTAGTGACCGAAGTTAATAGTATTTTAAGGTTTTACTAATTTTTAAACAAAAAAGTAAAAATCAAAATGTTTTTTCAGCAAGTATTATTTTGCTTCATCTTAAGTATTAATAATAATTATAACAATAATAACAATAATAATAATAATAATAATAACAATAATTATTATTTGATTATTTCATTCAATATTTTGCTGATTTTAAATTTCGATACTACGCATGATTGTGTTATATTTGTAAAATATAAAATGATCAACGAATTATCAAAACTGTTTTTTTGTTAACGAATTATACCAACAAAATGCAAATTAACATTTTTTTTATAGTCATATTTTATAGTCATGTCTTCCCCTACCGTGGTTTTTGAATTTTTTTCTTTCAAAATATAAAAACAAATCTTTTTAAAAATATAATATTACTGAAATAATTAAGTGTTGTATAATGCTAAAAAAATATACTTAGCATTATACAACACTAAGTTATTTCAGTAATAATATACTTTTAAAAAGATTTGTTTTTATATTTTTGAGATGTTTTTTATCCGTGAATAATTTTTATTGCTAAGAGTCAAAAAAAGTTTATCTGTGTTGTTTTTTTATGGCTAAAAAATTAATTTTTTCTGCTAAAATCGTAAAATAGTTGTAAAAACATTGAATATTTTAAATGATATCAAAATATAGTAGTAGTTTTTTGTATAACATTGTTTAATCCTTGACACGGTAGGTGATTACTAAAACTATACTAGTTAGCACTTATCGTTTATGGAAACATTTTTTTGGACGTTTCTTATTTTGCTTTTCTTTTTTCTCTAACATACAATTTATGACAATCTAAATTACCAAGTAAAGGCAGTTTAACTTTAGGGAATATTCATTTGATATGCTTTTTACACTTTATTTATGATATGAAATGAATAAAAACAATTAGATTCAAATTTAACGACAAAAAAAAAACACATAAAAAAAGATGCTTAAGAAAAACCAAAGTTTTAATTCAGAGTAAATCTTTAGTAGATAATTTTTATAAAACTAAAAAACCAATGTTTCTTTTATTTAGTAATCATATTAAATTTATGCATTTTTTCTTAAGTTAAATAAATAAAATTAAAATCAAAATATATGACTTTTTCATTCGTGGTAGGTGAAGAATTAATTACGGTAGGTGGTCCCATTTCGCGGTAGGTAAAGAAGCGTACTAGATCTTACAAAAAACTAAAATTAACATTAAAAAATAATTTTTCTCAAATTTGAATAAAATAAATTAGTTAATAATTGAGTATAAATTATTAATCCGAAAACCCTAAATTTAAATCTGTTACGGTTTTGGAGTTATGAAGTTTTAAAGTTAAAAGTTCTTAAAGTCACGGTAGGAAAAGACATGAACCTACACAAAAACAAACCAGTTCACAACAAAAAAATAAAGTCATAACAAATATTATTCGAGAAAAAAAAGTTTTCAAAAATTTATTGCTATTTATTCTTAAATGACGCAAGATATATGCTGACCAAACATTGGCGATATTACGTTACTCGCATAAGTTATTATTTTTATCTTATATCTTTACAGCTTTATAACGTATTTGCGTTTTCAACTTTGCATTTTGTGTGCGTCATCCTTTTTAATAGTTTTAATAGCTTCTAATCTATTTTTTTTTATATAACGTTCTTGTAATATTTAAAGTAATTTATTTTATTACAAAATAAACAACGTTAAAAATTTCCTTATTGCTGAACCTGTTTATAAAATGTTAAATCCAATCAAATTATAATTTAACGGATTCGTTAACAGCAGAAGCAACAAATTTAGTAGCTTTAATGAAAGAAAAAAGAAAGAGCATGACCTATTTTAAGAATCCTAATTTTCACCAAAAAAAAATTTCAAGTCCATTTCAATATGCTGTATTGAATAAAAGCGTAAAGAACATTATAAATTAAAAGTTGTATTATAATAACAAAGAAAAGTTAACAAATTTGTGTTATTTGTAAATAGACAAAACTGGATACCAACTAAGTCAATTTTTATTGTGCGAAACATTTTCAAAAAAAAAATTAAAAAATGGAGAGCAGGCAAAAACGTTTTGTTAAATAAAAACTTAAAACCAATACCAATTATTCTTTCAAGTTTTTTGCCTTTTTGATAGTATATCATTATATATGGGAAAAAAATCTCCAACAATATGTACCGGAATAATCAAAGCTGCGAGTATTTAAAAAATGATTTAATACAAAATATAAGTTGTATTGCTGGTATTCTACCCCAAGCGGCTACCAAATGCTAAAACATAATGATCATATTATATTTTACAAAATATTGTTTTATGAGCTTTCCATCCCAAAGATTGTTGAGTTTATACAAGAGTTGATGAGAGCTAACATGTAAGGCTATTTAGCAAGGGCTGTTTAGCATAATATATTATGAAACGTATTTACAGAAATGTGCAGAATACTCTAATGGAACTACAACAGGTGTAGAAAATAACTTTGGGTGAAGTTTGAAAACGTGTTGTTTGCTTTATGATAAAGCTTTTAAAGAAAACATTCCATACTTTATAAAAGCTGTTTCAGTTGTAAACATTGATAGCAATCGGTTAAAAAATAAGACTAAATCTTTTGTTTATCTTTGTGTTTGATTTTCTTATGAGTTATTGTGTGTGAAAATCAGGCAAGTAATGTTTCTACATTTAACAAATTGTTATGAGAGTATGAAAATGACTTTTATAGTCTCTTAATTTTATTAAAATGTAGAAAAGGTTATTTAATTATATTCTTAGAAATTATAATTATTATTCTTTAATTAAAAGTTTGAAGAATAAACTGAATCAAAAAAGATTTTTGTTTCGCTCACTCGAGTTTTTTTGATTTAAAGATAATTTTTCTTCAACACATTTAAAAGCCATCATGTTTTTATCATTTTTACTTTTTAATTTATCTCGTTCTGTTACAAAATTATTTACTATATATATTTTTTGTAACAAAAGCTATTTATATACCATTAAATATAAAACGTAAGAATAATAAAAAAA